GGGGGAGTAGGGAGGCCGGCCGTCGGTCGACGCGGGCCCAAGCCCCTTCGAAGGGCTGTAAACAAAGAAAGATAAGATCAAAAACCATTTGTACAAGCCCCTGTATCAAACAACCTCTACGGAAGCGACGTAGTTGTTTGATATTGCAGCATCTAGTGTTTGAAAGGTCATTGAACGCCCGCCGGCTGTTCACTTAGGCCATTTCACGCTTTTCACGAAACATTAAAATACTTCAGGCTAAATTCAGCACATTGAAGAGATTATTCATCAGCTACTATTTAGCTATGTGGGTAAGTGATCACTATAGAAAAGAAGCCTTGCTTAGAACCTTAGCCTCCGCTCTATTATTTTTCTGCACCCACCCAATCGCTTCGACGAAGTTCGTCGGAGAGGAGCAAATCGCATCCAAATTGAGGAGTTTTGCCTAGAGATGTTCAAATTCGTTACGAACAAGACCATCTGAGTTGTTTAATTATTATTCTTAGATAAGTCTTATTAAAGAAATTAGGTTCCTTCACATTTTATTGGGGTTTTTGTTGAAATTCTCTTCCCTCGCATGGTAATAAAACTCTTTGAACCGAAGGCCATGAAATTTTTACGTTGAAAAACTAATTTTTCTTGAATTTTCATTTTCTCATCATCTTCATCATTCGCCATCACTCCCATAAGTAAGATGAGGTCAGTTACGATCGAGGGGAGGCGCGTAATTATCCTCAGGTTCCGTAGAAAAATTCCTCCAAAAATAGGAAAATGCCAAGAAAATCGACTTTGTTATTCTGACGTAGATTGATGTCATATTCTCAATGGAACCTGTAAAGAGGAGTGCTAAGTGCAGAGACCGTAGATGCAGTTATCTACAGCCTCCAAAAAGGAACGATGGAGACTAAACAAAACCAATGATCATTTTCACATCGTACTAAGTAAAGTCGAGTACGTGGCGCAATCCAAAGCCAATTCTGCACACAACATCGTCGAGGACCGATCGGCTCCTACAAGCACTAAAGCGTGCACCCCATGTACATTCAATCACTTTTCGGATGGAACTCAAGTGCCCAAACTGGAGCATTTTCAACACTTCAGGAGATCTTCTTGTGGAGCTCGACGAGCTGAGCTCAACGGTATCTTTATTTCCTCAATTACTCAATTTCGAAGCGATTTATAAAGGAAAGACGAAAAAGACGCGACTTCGCGGTATTCGCATGAATTTTCGAGTTCTTACGGCGATTACTGTATGTATGACGGACGCATGTATGTATGAGTATTGTAAATTTGGACCTTAAGGGTTCAAATATGATAGGGTCACAGGCGGCATTATGAAAACACTAATTATAGGTTACAAGACTAGAGAGAGAGAGAGAGAGAGAGAGAGAGAGAGAGAGAGAGAGAGAGA